TAAAGATATCATATCTTTATCTTTGCTCATATATATATATATATATATATATATATATATATATATATACATATATATACATATATATACATATATATATATGTATATATATATATATATATATATATATATCGGAATCGTATTGATGAGACTGAACTGTTACCATTAGTGTTTTAATATTTTTTGTTGGTATATTTGTACCGTGGCATATTCTTTACATTTTGTCATTTTTTCATATATTGCCATTATACGTGGTTTGTATTTGTCCTGGCTAAACTAAGGTTTCCTCATATTTGATGTTTTAAGTGTCAACCAGTCATAAAGCTTTTCGCCTACCTAGGCAAGACCTCTGTTACAGATCAGAGCTAATATTCATATTTCAAGTGATCATGTACAAAACATGGTTATAAGTTCGATCGCTTTAAACACAGCCTTTTATTGACAAGTTTATGTTCATTACTCTTATTAAATTGTCCATAATTAAATAAAAAAAACATTTGATTATAGTATTCCTTTGTCTGTGATATCATTAATTAATTACACATATAATTAAATAAAAAAACATTTGATTATAGTATTCCTTTGTCTGTGATATCATTAATTAATTACACATATAATTAAATAAAAAAAACATTTGATTATAGTATTCCTTTGTCTGTGATATCATTAATTAATTACACATATAATTAAATAAAAAAACATTTGATTATAGTATTCCTTTGTCTGTGATATCATTAATTAATTACACATATAATTAAATAAAAAAAAACATTTGATTATAGTATTCCTTTGTGATATCATTAATTAATTACACATATGTTTCAATTATTATCACAATATACCCATTTCACATAAAATAGTTTGTCGCAAGTTCTTCTTCGTAGATACAGGACAGCACGAGATAAAAAAAAGCTTAGGCCCATTTGATTTGTTAATTAAAAGGCAAAACAGCATTATTGCAAATAATATTTCTATATCAATTGAATGTAATTTATTTTGCAAGCATTGTGTTTAATAACTAAAAAACATTAACACAAGAAAGTGAATAACAGTATCATCATTACTTCTTTTCGTCAATAAACACAGAAAAGCCAGAGGCAGTTACTACATCTCACATGAAACAAGATGGTGGAGAAACAAGTAAGCTATTTCTTTTTAATCACTTTTCACATACATGGGTGTTCTGTATGTAAACAATCATACTTGTGGTTTGCAGAGTCAATTTAAAAAGAAGCTTCCTAAGTCTTCGCAGAGCGATCACTCCTGAACCAAAGCAAGCATGGGTTAAACATACCTCTCCTAAGATGATCTAATATTTATACACCTTCTACCAATCGGGCACTGACATGGATTAGTCATTTGATTCCAAATGCATATCTGCTACCACCATTAAGATCATAATTTCAGCATTTAATCGTATGTGAATATATTGAAAGACATTGTCAAATTTTACAAACTGGACATTGGATTGGTTCTGACAAATTTCTACTAACATTGAGTATTGAAATGAGACTATGAGTTGTATTCCTAAAAACTGTGTATGTAATTCTCATGCAAATTATAACAAACATACTATTCTACATCGTATTGATAACGAATGTAGGTTTGTTTAATTTAACAAAGTAGTCATCACGTGTTAAGATCATTTTCATGATTTTGCGACCAATATATATATATATATATATATATATATATATATATATATATATATATATATATATATATATATATATATATATATATATATATATATATATATATATATATATATATATGTATGTATGTATGTTATTTAAGTCCATCCTTATTACCCGAATTTGTGCCAAAATATTTTACTGATTTTAGAAGAAGAAAGATCTCTTGTTTAATTAGCAAGTAATGTATTTAGGTATCAAGTTTTATTGGACACAGCTGGAGACGTGTCAGACACTTGTTCATTATAAGAAAATTAACTTTATTTTCTTTATATCTGTCTGGGCAGTTTTTCGTATTTACAGTACACAGTGTAGAAAATGAATTGTATTGCTGGTCTTTAGTTTTGTTCATTTTTTAATAATAATAGTAATTGAAATGTGTTTTGTATGATATAGTGTTTGAATAAAATATTGTATCATCCATATATCTCTGAACATTTTTTAATTGTTTTATTAACACACCACGCTTTATTCATCTTTCAAAATGACTACTAACTTTCTCATGCATTTAGACAGTGGGTAAATTTGCTAGTCAGTTTTTAATTATGTAAAGTTAACAAACAAATTGCATTCACTAACAGGAACTATTTCTTAGCCAAGAGAATGTGAAAAGTATACAATTTATTCAACCAATTGTTGCTTCTTAACATTTGTGAATCTATAAGGATTTTTAAATGGGAAGACAGAAATAAAAGCCTGGAGCTTACCTGCAGCTAACTTCAGTATTGGTTAAATGACCTATATGGCAGCAATAAATAGCTTATATCAATCAAACAAAACATATTGTAGCAAAAAAACAGCAAAAATTATGTAACGTATACTTATAACATTTGAAAACTCAAGCTTTATACCACATTTTAACCTTGACCATTCTAATAATTTACAGTTTTTCAGGGACCAAGCAACAACAAAAGATACATGATTTTAAAATGTATCATTTAAGTATTACAATTATCGATGCAATTAGAAACAATTCACATTTTATGACAATATTATAAGAAAATATTATAGTAGAAGAAGAAAAAAAACAATATAAATAATGACGATTATGAAGCCAATGAGAGGAAAAGATGGTCAATTAATATTTGTCCTTACTAGTCTTTCCAATATTAAACATTTTTTTTCACTCAGTTTGCACAGCTTTAAATAGACATATAATAAATTCAAAATATCCTTGAAAGATTTTCAGTCATATATTAAGTAAAATGACATAATTCTGAAAATTATAAGTTTACACCAATGTAATTAATTCTTTTATACATATTGATATAATTCTGACGAAAAAATTTCCATTGATATTGCCCCATAATAGTTTGATTCCCAATACTGCAATGACTTTACTAACATCAATGCAAGTACACGCAAGTTTCATTTTCTTCATTTTTATATATCTTGGTAACCGGGTGAAGAACAAAGATATGGTCTATTACTAAATTAGCTGACCTGAATTTAGAACGATTTCTTAACGTAACTCTTGAAATTCTAACAATTTTTAAGTCCCTTAACAAGAACGTCCGTACGATTTTTTAATAGTCCTGCAATTAATAGGCTATACATTTCCGCTTATAATTTCCACACATCTGGTATCAAATATTATATCAAGAAATGAAAAATGCAATGACATCATTGTATTAGATGTGCTTTCGATTACTTGTCTAAAACATTGTCTTTAGATGTAATTTTGTTGTTTACGGGACATTTGATAAATTTCAGCAATTTCAACTAGGTAATAGCTCCATTAAGTAATGTATCACCTACATACTTGTTGTATGCAACCACCGACAGTTTCATAATGTTGGTCCAAAGATGTTTTGCTTTATGTAAAATAAATCATTAAAGTTTTCAGTATTTATTTTTGCTTCATTTTACCATCGTCACCAATCTGTTAATGATAATTATTATTAAAGAATGATTCATGTTTTGCAAGATTTGCTTGTTTTAATAAATGCGTCTTAATCATTTCTGTTGGATTTAAATTAAAATAGTTTATTTCTTTCTTTATCTTATTTTATGCCTTTTAGTGTTTGCCTCCAAACCATTATCATTATTTCGATAACAGTTTACATCACAGTAATTCCTTGTTAAATATTTTGAAGAATACTAGTGAAAAAGGAAAAAAACGATGACCTTTATATATATTCATTTATAGCATAATTTGTGATATGAGGTTGAAATGCGCCGCTTGCCATTGACAACACTGCAATGAGGTGAAAGTTGACAATATTTCAGCAGTATCAATGAGATCTTTGATTCATTTTAACAATAATTACACATCATCATGATCATGATCATCATCAATCATCAACATCATCAATCATCGTCATCATCCCTCCTCCCTCCTCCTCCCTTTTCCTCCTCCTCCCCCTCCTCCGCCCTCCTCCTTCCTTCTTCCTCCTCCCTCCTCCTTTCTCCTCCCTTCTTCTTCCTCCTTCATTCTCCCTCCTCCCTCCTCTCTTCTCCTCTCTCCTCCCTCCTCCACTCTTCTCCCTTCTCTCTCCTCCTCCCTCCTCTCTTCTCATCCCTTCTCCTCCCTCCTCCTTCCTTCTCATCTTCCTCCTCCCTCCTCCTCCCTCTCCCTTCTTTTCTCTTTTTCCCTCCTCCTCCTTCTCCTCCTCCCTTTTCTTCCTCCTCCTCCTTCTTCTCCTCATCCTCCTCTTCCTCCTCCTCATCTTCATCTTTCTCATCCTCGCCCTCTTCCTCATTCTCATCCACCTCCTCCTTGGGTCACAACTGCAATTCTTTGTCACGCCGTAAAGTTAGGAAAAATGCACTTTACCCAGGAATATTTCGAGCTGAGCCAAAATATTGTGATAAATTATTTGTTATTCTCTGTCACTTAGGAAAGAGAATAGTAGTGAAGGAAACTGAAACTGAATTCATCTATAGGTGCCTGGAAAAATTAAAAACAACAATTAAAGCACTTTCTGATAAGCGTTAATTTCATTTATAGCATAATTTGTGATATGAGGTTGAAATGTGCCGCTTGCCATTGACAACACTGCAATGAGGTGAAATTTGACAATGTTTCAGCAGTAGCAATGAGATCTTAGATTCATTTTAACAATGATTACACACAGAGAGAATGCGCGCTGTGTGTGTGTGTGTGTGTGTACGTGCGTGATTTTGATTTTTAACCTAGCTTTAACAATTTTCAAGTCATATCGCTACGATGTCTACAGTGTGAAAGTTTAAAGTGATGTCTAACACTAGGCAACATGCCGCAGACATGCAGTATTATGTCCCACCCAGTCACATTATCCTGACACCAGGCCGAACAGTTAGTACCATTTTCATAAGTCTTTGGTATGACTCGGCTGGGGTTTAAACCCGCGACCTCTCGCATCTGAGGCGGACGCTCTAAGCACTAGGCCACTGGAGCTTGAGAGAGAGAGAGAGAGAGAGAGAGAGAGAGAGAGAGAGAGAGAGAGAGAGAGAGAGAGAGAGAGAGAGAGAGAGAGAGAGAGAGAGAGCAACTTTACCAGCAGTATCGATAAGTTAATTGGAAAAGAGTTTGTCCAGAGTTACATTTGTATGTATAATAAGTGCTGTTTTAATCGTTTGAACTACTGGCATTTTTTGTAGTTAGTATTAAATTTACACAGCTTACTAAACTGCATTTTGGCAGACACCTATTTCTGCGACAGAAAGTAGATTTAAATAAAATAGCTATGCCAATTTTTGTGCTGGTAGATTATTCTAAATTGAAGTTGTCATTTATTTTTTCTCCTAAAAGTCAAGCTTTTATTTATGTTTGCACTGACAAAAAGGAAGTGTCCTCACTTCATCCCTTTTGCAAAAGAAAAAATGTCTCCCACCTTTTTCCGCAATGGAATTGAATCTCAACTGTATATGTTTTAGTCGGTGCCATATTCATTATCATTCAGCTACTGATTGGTTTTGCATATTTATTCTAAGCATTTCATTTACGTTGATCATCCTGACGGGTATTATAGGAGTCACGGTACTAATTCAATTCCCATAGTAAACATATGGAAACACCATCATATTTAAAATTCAAAAACTTAAAATTTCTGGGTACCGATGATCAGACCTATATTTCTCCATGCACAACTATCCTTGGTGCAAGCTTCTGTGTGGAGAACACCATATGAGCCGCGGCATTTTCTTGACCTACATAGCCGTTTCCTAGCTAGCAGCCAGGAAACGGCTATCAGCCTTGCTTATCAGCCTTGTTTAATTTAACTCATATAATCTATTAAATACGACAACTCTTATGCAAAAATTGATGAAAATAGTCTGATGAAAGGGATAATAATAATAACTATTATTTTTAAATGTAAAAGGTATTTATAAAATTTTTGGTGATCATTTTCTCCGTTTAGGGGCCGGTCATTATTTTTCTTGTCTGTAAGCATCTATCGACTTTGAAGAACTGTACAATTTGAAATTTGAATGTATTTCAGAACAAGAGGCATAGTAACTTATAAAAGAACGGAAACGGTTGAGGCTTAGACAAAGACAAGAGAAAACGTTCGAATTTTACCCAATCTAGAGGATATCTAGGAGCGTAATGTAAGAACGTGTTGTATTTGGCCATAGAACACAATTAATTTGACTATATTGTCTCTACATTTGTTTCTCAGTATGGAACTTTCCACTGTGTGACAATCAATACAAATCATATGTTAATCTAAAATACCTTCAAAGATGACTTTACGGTTTAGTTCTTGTCAAGGGTTGACCTGCATGTTTTTGAGAGGCTGAATTGTAAACAAAACACCAGGCAACGGAACACAGATTTCACTTCCGGATCATCACCATGACCTTATTACTCAATGTGTACTGTCGCTGAAATACACAGAGACAACCACACCATAAGCTCACAATTTAAAGAATAAACAATTGCCTTTAAATCCTTACCAAGAATGCCAAAATCTGACTCTAGTATCACCACCAAACTTAGACAGGTAAAAGTGATCTAAACATAGACGGGACTACATTCATGGGTACTGAACCGGATTTTATTAATTGTGTACTGATTCCTGAAAGGGTCAATGTTTTTGTCAAATTTGTATATTTGCATTTTATTTTGCATGCCACTACTATTTCAACTTCATACATAAATTCTTTTGAAATTTCCTTGCAAGCAAAACATGTGACAGCTGTCAGAAAGTGTGTAGTGCTGGTGTTCTATAGGGTGCAATTTGAGATCAATTGTTCTTAAGAAACCAAAACTAAATTTGCTATATCTTCCTTAATTATAGGAATTTTTCAATGCAGTAAAAACCTATTTGTAATACTTGATAAGGCCTGTCTGAAAATATTCTTGAAATTAAAAAGTAGTGATATATTAAATTTAAATCGAAATTTAAATAAATATATAAATTTTAAAAACTTTATTTTACAAAAATTAAATTTTCATACAATTTATGACATTCAGTTTGACAAATTTAAGGCAGCAAAGTTGATTAATGAATGGTGTTTACAACAAATGGTAGTTTAGGTCTGTACAACTGATAATATTAATCCCAGGGGTACTGAAGCATGATAGCTCACAGTGATTTGGACAGCAAATTGCAATATGCCTATCAAGATGCATATAAGTGTACATACTAAAGAAACAATGACAGGTGCTATGTTCCACATTTATTGTTTCAGGTACTTGGGCAGTTATTTGTATAACTAATAGCCCACTCAAATTTAAAGTTTTGATGGGACCACTACCATGTTTTATAGCAAATATGCATTCCATTTTATTGCTTATAACTACAAAAGTCAACAATGCAATATGAAAATACAGTTTCAGGGAAGTTCCACCTTACTGAAAAATGATGTGAATCTCTGTCATGAAGATCTAAGCCATGTCTTTGAGATGCTGTATATCAGTGTACTGATATGAACTCATCTTGGTCACTTATAGCAGCACACTGCACATGTCCTTATGAAACCTTGCTATCACCATTGGATTACTAGAGAGCTTCCAAAATGATCCAACTCTAATACTTTGTTCAGATACCAGGCTAGACCTGAAAAGATATAACATGTTTCACTTAATTCTAAAAAAAACAGAAAGATGTAGGCAAATGAAGTTAGAATGTGTTAGATATGGTGATTTCAAAATAATATTCAGGTTGCAAATATGGTTAAAAAAGGTAAACTTGATAGAGTGACACTCAAAGATGTGAAGCAATGGGCATTATTAAAGTGACAAATGCATCCTAAAAATAGATGAAGTTTCTACAAGCATATTTAGCCATTTACAGGTTAAATAACTAATCAGGTAGAGTATGTATCATAAAGTTTAAGGCAATGTTGGAACGGTGAGGTTTGATCATTGGTGCAAACATTTTACATACCAGTATAGTGGAAAGTCAAATGACAATGCACCAAATTAAAATTTATTACTATATGCAATCCTATTCATGAAGGAAAAACAATTTTAGATATTGCAAGTGAATATAGCAAAATGTGGCCACACAGATCAATTATAGGTACCAATAGATCATATATCATCAACTAAATGTGAAATTTTCATCCCGAAAACTTGTAAACAAGGATGGATATTTATGGATATTTGCATGTGTGGGACATATGCAATGTACTTGGTAACATCACATGTGCAAACATGATTCAAATAATCTGTTTGAACATTTTTAGTCTATTTTTAAGAGTCTTGGCTACCAAGTTATTAACTTCAATGATTCAATGGAATCATATCAGCTGATGCTGCAATACCACCCTCTGTCAAAGTATTAAATTGAAATGTGTTACCATACAGAGGCATATTCATGATGAAAATAATATCTTGGGATATTTTAAGTGCACACAGTCAAAATTGAGCCTTACAGATTCACTATAGGTACTATGTCAGCCTAACAATGTCAACTTTTGATTCCAAACATTACAAAATATATGCATATTTGTTCATGTCAGCTATGTAACCATATTAGGATCAGTTGTAGAAAGTTAAATTCAAATAATCTGTTTGAATATTACTTATGTAGTCTTTAAAGTGTCAGATAACAAATATTATTAGTCATTAATAATGCATAAAGCAAAATGGATCATGAGAATTCTCATACTATCATCTGGGCCACAATGCCGCACTACATCAATCAACATCTTAAAGAAACTGAATAATAAAATGGAATGCATTCTGTGTTCAACTTACATCATTTTGCTGTTTTCTTACATGCAATGGTAAATAAAAGTATATTTTACCCCCTCTGACCTGTATTCCATTCTCTGACAGCTTAATATGATTTTGAAGAGAACTTGAACAGATTCTAATATAAAATCTTTATCTATGTCCTCTCACTAAATACTCTATAACTATGTTTATAAACAATTACTGATAGCTATACAAGCAGATATGTGTTGCTCAGGAAGTCACCCCATCATAAACACTTAAATTAACTGTTTGGACCCCAAATAAATAGTTTCAATGACCTAAAGGTACAAAGCAAAGTAGAATTTTGTCTTCATGTATTTTAAATAAGGGTCTCATTTTGACTAATAAAGATATTTTCTCTGATTAAATTTGACAAATATCCATCATTTGAGCTTGTATATGGTGTAGCAGTATATATATGCTGATATATTTGCATATCATTCAAAATAAATATTATATATGTGTATACTTGGTGGAAAATTTTTATTTTTTAAAAAGTGTTTTAAATTTAATTTAAATTTTTAAAATAAAAATTATTTTTTATTTTTATTTTCATTTTTATATTTCTAAAGTCAATATACATAACCTATTAAAATTTCATGTGTATGTCATTAAAAATAAAAATTTTACATCAGTTTTAAGTTTTTACTGACAGGCCATAGAACACAATTAATTTGACTATATTGTCTCTACATTTGTTTCTCAGTATGGAACTTTCCACTGTGACAATCAATACAAATCATATGTTAATCTAAAATACCTTCAAAGATGACTTTACGGTTTAGTTCTTGTCAAGGGTTGAACTGCATTTTTTTGAGAGGCTGAATTGTAAACAAAACACCAGGCAACGGAACAGATTTCACTTCCGGATCATCACCATGACCTTATTACTCAATGTGCACTGTCGCCGAAATACACATAGACAACCACACCATAAGCTCACAATTTAAAGAATAAACAATTGCCTTTAAATCCTTACCAAGATGCTAAAATCTGACTCTAGTATCAACACCAAACTTAGACAGGTAAAAGTGATCTAAAAATAGATGGGACTACATTCGTAGGTACTGAACCGGATTTTATTAATTGTGTACTGATTCCATCTGGTCATTCCATAAACAATACATTTCATACCTTTATTTCATACCTTTAACAATATTATAAAATGATAAAATTCCAGACTCCTGTGGTATAGCTGTAGCCAATAAGAACGCAAATATTTTATAGCGCAATTTCCTTTAAAATGT